TTCTGAAAAACAAATCTGTTCCAATAAAGGCTGCACTATTGCTGAATATTGTTAGTCTGTCAGTAATGCAAGTATTTGATAGCAAAAGAAAATTCAGTGCAGAAAATGCTAACTCAAAATACTATATTAGAATATTATGCAGTTTTATCACAATTGATGATCAGTGCTTCTGTTATAAATGTTATAAACAAAAGATGTATATGTCATAAAATATAGGGCTCTAGGACAGTTGTATGCCACAGTTGGTGTTTTCTTACCAAACAATATGTATTTTTTATGTATTTGGGTGCAGTGTCCCTTTAATTTAAGCAGAGTGTCCCAAACGATCAGTAGTAGTATAGGTGTCAGTTTTCAAAATAAAGTCAGAAATTTCCTTATAGGTGAATCACTACTGATAACCGATATGTTTTTGTCTAATACGGGGGTGCTGGACGTGTGACTTACCAAGTTTGTATATGTCAAAGGACAGATCAGGAACAGGGGACCCGCATGGAGAGCAAACAGGTAGCCAAAACACTAAACAAGAATCTGTATCAAAGATGCAGGTTGCAAAGGTTGCTAAGGTTGTAAAGTGAAGGTAGAGTCAGGTGCGGGATATTGGAACAAGCACAAATGCTAAGAAGGGCAACAGGACACAAACACTTAGCGGGCTGGGGTTCAGGAGAAATACTCATCCCTAACCACAAATCAGTAAAAGCGGTTGGGGAAGAAGAGGCTCAGGATAATGCTTGGTAATCAGACGGCTGTCGGTACCGTAGTAAATGTGACCAGTTGAGGGAGCATGGTGGCAGAGAGCGATCAGGACCCATCCTCACAGCATTATAATAAAAATAATAAAAAAAACAACAATTGTTGTTGTAGTAGTAGTAATCATTATTATTATTATTATTATTACAACAAAATGTACTGCTCAAGAATCGTGAAAGAAAATCTTGATCCCAAATGAATGAAGAAAAAAAAATCTCAATTCATATTTTGCGCGTAATCTTGCACCCCTAGTTGATGGTCTTCCAAACAAGGGGTGGGAGGTACACAGCTTTGATGGAAACTTTTGGCATCAAAAGGAGATACTAGTTAAATAGATGACTTCGTAAAACATCTTTTCATTGGTAAATTAGATGTCAAGTGGTGCCAGTAGACTGAATAATGGGTCTAGTGCAACTATAGATAAAAGTCAAAAGTGGACACACATGGTTCTCTGGACAGCGACGATATATAGATAGATAGAGAGAAAGATATATATATATATAAAAATATATATATATACACACACACACACACACACACACACACACATCATGTATCTTCCAGGTAAAGCATAACAAAGCCTCACTTTCTCTACCGAGAATGCTGGGTCACAGGGAATGAAAATCAAAATCTAGAAGGAAGAAAAGCAGATTAATGAACAAAGGGAAGGCGGACCTCAGTCATTTCAGATTTTGAAGTGAATCAAATAAAATATGCTCCACTGCTAGACAATAAGCACAGAAAGATGTGATGTGAAGTTGAAGAGCATCCTCCGTTTCTGTCGGAAGAAGTTGAGAGAGGGCAGCTTTTTAATTACTCTCACACTCAATTATCGCAGTCATTAAGAATGAGCCATAGACGTAGACACTCAAAATACACTGGGATGGAAATATGTGGTGCCTGTCACAATAGAAGAAGGCCAAACAGTCATGGCCTTGGGACTGGGATCTGGCATGTCAGTCAAAACTAAGCTCCTCACTGGAAAGGTAAATCGACTTCTTACATGGAAACAAATGCCAGACCCGTCAGATTTCATGCTATATTTTCTACCACTGGAATATTCATCTGGCCGTGCATTGCATCCTCGCTTATAGACACACATGAACCTTGAATTTCAGCCATTAATGTTGACATTTCAGAACAACTATGCCACCCGCCAGCACTTCCCACGCGCGAGGCATCAGACCATGTCTGCAATGTCAGCATCTCCCAGAGTCATGCTGAAGACAGTCGCTGGGTTCAACTGTGGTGAACAGACCTGCTTCCATTTCACTATGCTGACAGCAAGTCAGCCTTTCCCTCATTTTTCTTCCCCCCTATGCTCACGCTCTTTCTGCATCCTGACATTCTGCAGAGTACAAGAACATTTTGCAGAGACACAACAGGAAAGAGAAAAATTGATAACCACCATTTCTGATCAGAATAACTTCCCTCAGAAAAGCTGGGGTAGAAGAGCTCCACAAAAAGCGAGGCAGAATCCAACAGTGCACACCTGAAAGAGCCTTTACCACTTAGAGCAGGTCTCAGAATACCTTCCTTTTTTAACACCAGCTAATATCAATTACCGCTTTACATTTCAGCCATTCTCAAAATGACAACATACATACCCAGATTGCCATTTGGCATCCAGTTACTCAAATCATTTAATAATAGAGGTGAAAGAGATTCAGGTAACATCAACATGGATGCTACTCAGATATACCGTTAAAGAATCCATTTCTCCCACACTACTGGCTTTCTGAAATAGATACAGCAGCCTCAGCTAGGCTGTGGTACAGCAGCCTCCCCGAAATCTTAGTTGTTTGGTGAACATCCATGTAAAAGCTGATTTTTAATTCTGTGTAAAATCTACACCATAGATAGCTGTGCACCCTATGCCATAACCTGACAGTGGTAGTTACAGTAATGCCCTTGTAACGCTTCAGTGCCAGCAAGAAGGCCAGACAAACCCGAGTCCAGTGCTCGGGCCCATTTTCCATGACCCCCAGCTCGGATGGTATGGTGCAAGTAGCCCTTCTCAAGTAAACCTCCAAATTCTGAGGGAATTCTATCAAACTATACCTCTGAGGTCATTCCACAGTCACTAGTTTGGAAAAATGAAGAGCACAATGACCATCTAGACTAACTGCTGGCTTGACCAAAGAGCTTTAACTACAAAGAAACAAGTTTCCAAATCTGTTAAACGCATTTACATTTATTTTGCAGACACTTTTATTGAAAGTGATGTACAATTCAGAAAGTAGGGTCTGCAAATGCCTGGAGAAATAGCAGTTAAAGATCGTGCTCAAGGGCCCAACTGTGAAATCATTTTTCCAACCACGGGATTTGAACTGGTGACCTTCCATTCACGGGCACAGAGTCCTAACCCACTGAACCACACACTGCTCCAAATACTCAACCTGCACAAGTGCACAAAGAGCTTTAAGTACACAACACATTTTAGAAGACAAGAGGCAATAATCAAAATTAAACACCGGCACTACAATTTAATAATAATAAAATATGTAACATAACTAACAATGCTTTTCTCTGGATATGGAGCTATATCTGAAATGCAATCATTTTCAGAAAATCAGCTGTCAACCTACAGCTCAAGGGAAACTGACCTACATACTCCTCCTCTCATTGCCCAGCCCATAAAACTTCACTTATCTAACTAAATACATGAAATGGTCAAGCCCAGTGACCCTGGTTCTGCCTATAAGCTGGAGAGAGCAGCACAAAATAACAGGGGCCAAGGAACACAGATGCAGTCCAGAGATGAGACAGGACTCACAAAACTCAATTTTGCTGTTACCTCAATCGCTATATGTGGGCGGATGGGTGTGCCAAAGCATATACGAGTCAGTTATACCAGAGACAGGCAGATTCAACATTACATCCAATGGCTGTCAACATACATTTACTCTAGACTTTCCTTCTGCTGCGTTTCCTTCTCTGTTTATCTCAATTTCAAATTTGGCTAGTTGAAAATGACACTGACACACTGAAAGAGTGTCCCTAATGTCTCACAAATATAAACTTATGGGTTTCTTTCAGCATAAAAAGCAGTCAAAATCGTAAAACACAATCAAAAATAACACGGTTTACAACCTTATGTCAACAATTTGACGTCCCTCAAGCTGAGAAACCACGTTACTTCCCTGGAAAGTTGATCTAAAAAAACCTGCGGAGCTCCCCCATTTTAAATTACATATCCGAAGCTAAGAAAAGTGTTGCAATTTGCAGCTGTCGTAATAGGCAATTCACCAAACGTGCTAGCTGCACAACCACTAAACCGACATGACTCAAACGCATCGTGCACTTTTACCAACGAGTAATCTCGTTGAGTAACGACGGTCACGTGGTTCGGCCGAGCTACCGCCAGGTTACATGCAGGACTGCCACCAATGCCACCAATGCAGTTTTATAGGTAATAAATTATTAAATATACATGGAAACCTTCTGTGCACCGACAGGACTCGTATGTTAGGCTTAAACCTTGGAGGTTTGGCTAAATATAGAGAGCAAGGGGAGGTACTGAGGGGCGCACTGAAAACTACCTGCATCAGCCAGAGCTTTTCCAGTGTGTCCTGTTATTACCAGCAAAGAAAGCCGCCCCCTCCTCCTCCTCCCAAAAAGAGGACACATACACACACAAGCCCAAACTGACAACGCCATGTCGAAACCCACGATCACGTTTAAAAGAGGACGCGCATTCATTTCCCCAAGCAGCGCGTCGTGACAAACGCTGTCACCCTCCAGAGTGCGCTGCCTAGAAGTGACACTACGCCTTTCACCCTCACGCTACAAACAATAGGACATTACATAACGTGTTGAACGCCACTCCAGACCCGAACGGGCTTTATTTGTCTCCCCTCACCCTCTACCCGCGTAACCGTAAACGGGTTTCTAGACTGCTATACCAGCTCCGAACACCGAAATCAATATGGTGAGCTGGGTGAGCGTCGATCGGCCATCACCTCCCCAAAAACAGCAGCGCTGGCGGACTGTCGTTCCGTGACGGGTTCATTAAAACGTATTAAATGAACTTAAAGGTTTTTATCCAGCGTGAGTGGACGTATGTGAGGCCGCGCTACATTAGCGAAGCGTCCTGTATCGAGCTAGCCGCGTTAGCTACAGAACCGGGGCAGAAACACACTTACACATACATACACTGAGATACCTGGCTATGCAGCTAGCCAGCTAGCATATTTCCAAATCAAATATCGCTTCGAATATTTTGTTTTATGCCCGAATTAAACAGTACTTACGTTTTCAGGGTTGAAACTAACGCACCTCCAAACGCCACTCCAGGGTGTGGGGATAGAATTTTTTAATGTAACGAATGTGCTGTTTTCCCTCTACAGCTAGCCAGCTAGCCTGCTAGCTAGCTAATATGCTAGCTATCGAGATTGGGTTTCACACGAGCGAGTCCACTCTTAACAGTTCTCTACTTTGGTTGTGACAATTTTCGTACATGTTTGACGCTCGGTCGACTAGTCGGCACTATCGACGAACACGAATGGTCAATTTGTCGGGGGGTGGTGGGGAGCCTCAAAATGCGGAAAAAACAACATAAAATAAATTTGAATTTGCTACCTAGCTAAATGTTACAAGCAGATGACGTTCGCTCCTCCATTGAAGGTCTACAGTTCTCGCTCAGCTTAACGGCCAAATCAAGAGGAGGGATCGCCTTTTCTATTCCCGCCGGTCATTGGCCAGCAGGTGCTAAATAGACGCAGGGCCATTGGGTATTGCACCTGCCGGTCAACTTAAGCGCTAGCCCATCCTCCATGCCAATAGTATTGGCGTGATGACAATACAAACCATTGTGGACTGGCTTTCCGCAATGTCAATCAGCCGTTAAGCGTCAGTGAGAAAACGCTGTAGTTTTTGTCACATGTGACGTCTGGAACACGCCCATATTCTTTTTTATGTGATTGGTTTTGGGAGTATCTCGGCAAATATCTAAGTTGTTATGTTTTGTTGTTCAGACGGATGAGTGGTGCGCGAGTTAAAGAGGTGTCCTTTACCCAGAATTGGTTATTTGTATACATTGTGATAGTTGTTTAAAGGGTATCGTGGCTCGGTATGCCGTTATTATAAATATACCATAGCGACCGCAACAGTCAAAATGTTGCGCAGGCCTTTTTTTTTTTTTTTTTTACTGCGTAGCAGATATCTAGCGATAATTCTCTGGCCGGTCACTTTGTTGTCAGGCAGTAATCCATGTATTGAGTCAAGAAACCTAACAGATGGTCTTAAGGACTGTTTTTATTGAATTGATTTTAATACGTTTTTTTGAGATGGGAAATGATAGACTGCAAATCGACCTTGCGATCCCTTGCTGCAATCCGAGCCAGCTGCACCACTTTCCCGGATGTTGATTTCTGTGAAATCACCGTCAACCAATGAGCACGAGGCATTACGTCATTGCCTGAAACAAAACACGTTTTGAATCCTTCTCCATGTATTCTAAAAGATCATTGGGCAGAAAAACGAAAACATCGGTGCGTTCCCGTCTGTTTCAAGACATCTGCATATATATGTTATTATATAGCATCTAATACTTATTATAATTCATTATTTTCCAGAGCAATATCATACATAATATACTTTATATTAAAAAACAGTATGCTGACACCCAGTTTGGCCACAGTGTCTGTTAGTAATTCTGTAAGATATTGAACACATATTTCCATTTATGGAAAATTCAAGTACTGATGGTTCCCTATGGGTATGTGAAAGATGGTCAAATATATGTACATTACTGTGTTTAAGTGTGGGACTCTTACATAATGGCATATTTAACACGTGTTGCTCTGCAACCCATACTTAATAATAGCCTGGTTATTAACCTATCTACCCAGTATTCTATATAAAATGACCTCGTTCACCCTCAAAAGCAGGGACAAACTAACTAATTTCCTGTGCCAGAACCATCACGGTTTTCCTGGGGCCTGGACCTTGTGGTCACCTGTGTCCATAAATTAATGATACAATTAAGGGCTTGGAGGTAGAAGCATTCCAGGGTCATGGCTGGCCAGCTGGGCTTTAATGGGAGTGTTATGTGGGTGGCCCTTTAGCTAGCGACTTAGATCCCTTACTACGGCAGACAGAAAATTAATTATCACAGGCAGGATGCCATATGTTGTTGTGGCCTTTGTTAGACAACAGTTTGGTACAAGTGCTATGTGCTGTTACCCCCACCCCCTTCCAGATTTGAAGAGTCTGGTATGACTGATGTGTTGAGGGGCACTGCAGCTGCAGCTTGTCAGATCCCCCCGCTCCCACTTTGTAGAGCATGTTAGTATGTGGCATATGAAATTTGCTTTATCCCATCCCTTAATTTCTAATTGCACAAATATGTGAAAAATAAGATTCTCTGATTTTATTTTGGGATCTGATGATGATGATGATTGTAAACTCAGGTGTACAGCGTTTGGGAGTGTGTTGATCTGATGTTAAGATCAGATGTATGAGTGTTTGGGAGTGTGTTGATCTGATGTTAAGCTCGGATGTATGAGTGTTTGGGAGTGTGTTGATCTGATGTTAAGATCGGATGTATGAGTGTTTGGGAGTGTGTTGATCTGATGTTAAGCTCGGATGTATGAGTGTTTGGGAGTGTGTTGATCTGATGTTAAGCTCAGATGTATGAGTGTTTGGGAGTGTGTTGGTAAGCTTGTTTTTTTGTTTGCTGTGATGTTTTTGTGGCTGAGACCTTTTTTTGTTTGCTTCGGATTGGAAAATGAGTTAATCCCACTCATAGTTAATTGAGGACCGGGTGGCTATCCTCTTGGCCCCCCCCAAATACACATACCTTTTTATATATTTTATTTGCTGCTCTTTTGTTCCCATCTTGAATACAACCAACTTTATCATTCACTGGTTATAAAACGTGATGTGTAGTGTCTCTTCATATAATTGTGTAATTGGCGTATAATTATATAATTTTGTGTGCCAGATTTTTAACATCCAGCCAGGCACTGTGCCCATTAGGTAAATACTGTAATCACAGATGGATTTCATACATTTTTCTAGTAAATTCTCATGTTTACCTGGGCCTAGGTTTTCTCGAACCTGGATCACTCTCAAAGCTGAATGGGCCGGTTCTGCCAGCTCATGCTTTAGTTGCTGCCGCTAAGCAGCCATCTCTATGGAGACCGCAGACCAAGTGCTTTTCATTGCCATGGAAACGGAGGAGCAGGGACTGGACATGGAGAGCTTTAGATCTGACAGACCTCTAACTTTTCTGGGGCCTTGTCTGAGCTCAAACTGATCTGGCTCTTCATCGGTCCTCTGAAATGGGACATTGTGCAGTTCGGAGAATTATCGGGGGGGGGGATCAGAAGCTGCTTAGGGGGCTGAAGTGAGCCCAGAGTACTCAATAAGCAGGCCATTAGACAATGCAGTTAATGTAGTGACTGGCTTGGGTGTGGAATGGGATGTTTTTAAGGAATCATTTTAATGATGATAATACTAATACATCATTGATCCCCATGGGGAAATTCTCTTTTTGCCTACCCCATCTTGCTCTCCATGTAGATGAGAGCAAGCTTGGCAGTGAAGGGCAGCCACCTGCAGCGGCACCCATGGAGCTGGGGGTTAAGGGCCTTGCTCGAGGGCCCACAGACATGTGGCTATTCTGGGGAAGTTCAAACTGGCAACCTTCCAGTCACAGGCACAGGGGCTTAGCCCACTGAGCCACACGCTACCCCCATGCATTCTGTTTCCCTGTGCATTGTTGTTGAAATCCTGTGTGCACAAATGACATTTTATGTATTTATACATCTGATGTAGTGTGAAAGTGCTCTGTTGTGCAACATGTGGTGTCTCTAAGTTTCAAAACCTTCAAGATCTGTGCTGTGATGGTGATGCAGATTTAGCACAGATGTGTGCGTTTGCGATTCCGGTCTCCTATGACTTTGTGCTTCCTATGTCAGGGTCTTGCCTCTGCAAACGTTTCCCCACATTTCACAGTCATAAGTGAGACAGACTGGTACGCTTGGGTCACACCGATGTCGTCGGCATGGGAGACGGTGAATCGGATCAGTAGTTGGAGGGAGGCAGGCTCCCATTGCTCGAGTGGGTTTGTTGCAGGGAATGCAAGCTGGGCCTGCAGTAAGGAGGGGAGGCGATGAAGTCAGCACCTCTCTTTGTGTGTGAAGTACTCCTCCGCTCACTCACACTGTCTTACGGGGGGGGGGGGGGGGGGGTCCAGGCAGCCTCTGCAGATTGCCAGGCTGGCTGTCTCCTTTGGCTGGTAGCCGTCATCACTGCATTGGTTGCATCGGTGCCTTTTAACCCTGTATTTCTGACATACTGAAGGAGAGGGATGTGGTTCTGGATTTTCAGGTTAATCCGAGAGACTGTCTGTGTGTGTGTGTGTGTGTGTGGTGGGGGGTACTGAGTAGGAGCTGGAGATTACATTTCATGTTGGTTCTGATTGGAAATCACTCTCCATATCACCAAGGCCACACCAGCAGCCATATCAGTGATGTGCTGACACACTTATTTACCTCTGTATGTTCCGTGCCGTCTCAAAGGACAATGTCAACGCGAGGTCTGCGCACCCAGAGCCAGGTGACAACGGCTTAACTCCTCTTCATCTTCTGGATTTATGAGGGATACCCGCCTGGTTAATGCACGCTAAACCACTTGGCCTCCACCTATTGCCAGTATTGTATGTCAGCAGTCTTTTTCGGCCTCCCGTCTCTGTGCTACTCTATTGTTAAACAAAACTTAGAGCTTTGCAATCAAATCCAGGCTGTTCAGAATCTATTACAAATAAACTGCTATCTTCAGATGTTATGATGGTATTAGTTGTTGGCCATAGAGAAATTCAGGTTCAGATGGCATAGCGCTCTGAATGGAGCTGACCGGAGTTGAATGGACTGGAGCGGCAGGCTGTTGAGCCTTTGTGCCAGCTGACTCGGTTGGCGTAGCGCCTCTGAGATGTGATTCCCCTCTCGGCACGGGTGGGTGGCTGCGTGGCAAAGAAGAAGGCCAGTGTTTGTGTTCTCAGCAGTCATTGTGCTCCGGCAGTGCCCTCCTGACAAACTGCCTCTTTCTCAGGCATGGGTGAGGCACAGTGGGCCCTGTCTTACCGCCCGCCATTTTCTCCATGGGAACGGGAATCTTGGCGCCATTGTGGATGCGCGATCTCACGTGAGCTGCCAAATCTCAACCCCTGCACACACGGAAACAGAAATAGCATTCATTTTGGTGCCTGGAGTCCATGGAATGGATGACAGAATTGCATCCTTGCATATGAATCCAAGCACATTAAAAAGTCAAATGTGAAATGGGGAAAAATAATTAGTTCTTATAACCAGAAACAGCTACTGGCAGTTATGTTTGGGGAAACTTAAAGTATATTTTTTGTGGTAGCTTCTAATTTTTTTCCACATTAGGAATCTTGTGACTCTGGATAGGTTTTCGGAAGTGGGATGAATGTGGAGGATGATTACCGTTGTGTTTCAGTCACACGGTCTGCAGTTTTTCTGGCTGAGCCTTGTGCACATTTCCCCTTTAAGGTCTTGGCTCATGTGTTAAACAGCTGGATCTCTGATCTGGAACTTTTTCAGTGTCTGCTCTAAGAATGTACTGGTGTCATATACATGAAATGAGACGTTGCCGTTTAAAAAAAATCTAATTTGACAGTCAGACCTCTAGTA